GAAAGGAAGGTTCCTACTTCTAACAGGCTGCCACCCACCTGTCGGATGCTTCAGTTCCTTCTCTGAAGTTGGGATCCCAGCTTTTGCTGAGCTACAGGTAAAAACACTCCACTCAAAGTTCTTCTGATTCCTGATGATGCATGAAGTGAATTATGATGGTATTTTTATAAATGTATTTATACAAAGGACATATACTAAGCTGCCCTCACACACGCGCACTGCTTTGAGCTGGAGGCAGGGGTGCTAGTGTAAGAGCATCTGCGTGTGTTTCCATGTGTGCCTGCATATTTGCAATCTTCCACTCTTTCAGCTGTGCGTGCTGCGTGTCCCTTAGCTGTGAGAGAACGTGCTGTGTGACACACTATTATTCATAGACATGGCTTTAACTTTACATTTAGATACCTTCTGGTAATAGCTGCAATCAACTGCCTTTTAAATAGATGTGTCCATTTTGGGGAATTTATAAAGTTTATGGATTTATGGTTTTCAATGATTATGTAAGACTCCTTGGAGCCTCCTTTTTTGGAAACGAATCAGAGATCCTATTAAACTTTAGTATACAATCAATCAGCCTTATTCTGGCACTATATAATCACATACTCCTTTGAAACAAAATTTACTTTTAAAACTGCAGAGTGATGGCTGATCGCTGGGTGTTTCAAGCACTCTGAGTAAAAGCATTTACACACCTTTCTGAGTGCGCACTGCCACATGTATGTCTGCTGGGTGCTTTCCTTATTCAGCCTCCATGTAGCCCCAATGGACCTGCTGGAATGAATCAGGGTTTGGAACAGCGCTATGATGAGAACATTGTTCTCAACTGGAGGTATTGCAGATCAGAGTGTCAGACTGGACATAAACCAATGATACAGGGTATGAAGTGTAAAAGCATTGCTCTATTTTTATCTAGTATAGGAAAATAGGCATCTGTAAAAACTGTACATCCAAGATGGAATGAACAACTTACAGTGATGTTCATTTTATGTCTTTTTATTTTGTAGGATCATAGCATCACAGGATATGCTGAGTCAGAAGGGACCCATAAGGATCATCGAGTCCAACTCCTGGCTCCACACAGGACCAGCCGAATCAGAGCATATGACTGAGAACGTTATCCAGACGCTTCTTGAACTCAGTCAAGCTCGGTGCTGTGACCACTTCCCTGGGGAGCCTGTTCCAGTGCCCGACCACCCTCTCAGTGAAGAACCTTTTCCTGATATCCAACCTCAACCTAATTTTATTTTTACAGTCTCACCTGTATAACACATGGGTCTCTGTACTGGCCTGCCTGGTTGTTTCTGACTTGATGGAAAAGATATTTATTGTGCCTACTAGATGCTTCCACCTCCCCGGTCTAGCCCCTTGTCTGAGAGCACACAGTTGTGGAGTTCACTGGCTCAGAACTCTGCATTCCTGTAAACTATATATTTCTTCTTCCTCAACACAGCAAAAAGAGAATTTTGTCCTAAACTGGCTGGGTGGATATTTAAATTGAGCTGTGGGAAAATGCAATAGAGTGAGACTATTTAAATGACACTGTGAGAACTTCCTCGCTGATATGCCTGAAAGCTAAATTGGTGGAACTATTGTCCCTGTGGAGGTGAAAAGGTAATTTAGTTTTCATGGTCAGAAAAACATGACTGTGATGGTACCTTTTACAATGAGCACACCTCACACTGGCAAGAAACTGAAATGTTGCCGGTTTTAAATCATAAACTAGAATTAAATGAAAGCTCACCACTCCTTGAGATCCTTTCTATTCTGTAAATACCTTGTACAGAGCACTCTGGGCCCAACCCAGGAAAAAAATGCCGAAATGTGATCAAAAAAATACATCAAGGGAGCAGCACTGCTCATGTACTTGAAGTTATGCAGCTGCTGCATTAGTTCCAACTGCACTGAAGGATTATCTTCTGAGGATTATTTTCTCTTTAAGGTAAACAGCCAGCTAAATTTTAACTTAGTTATTATCCATGCAGTCATCTTTTACTGCATGTTTCTGTCCAAGCATCTGAAAAGCTACAGTACCACTCTGCATGCAAACAACGTCAATCTAATAAATTAATGGCATTCATTGAAAAAAACCCATCATAAATTTTAAGATAAAATCCACCTAAAATACAACTTTTTATTTTCCTTTTCATCTTCCAAGGGGGAAAAGAGAACTGAATTAAAAACAAACCCCCTGTTCAGGTCATCATGACACAAAGCAGTACAAACCAATAAATCCAGCAATGCTGACAGTCTAGCCTGGCAGCATGCACAGAGGCTTTTCAGCCATGGAAAGCTGGGAGGGCTTAGGATATTGGCTCCGTGGCTGTGAGCCGACTTATCGGAAGGAAAGAAAGGTCAGCGTGCCACAAACGGCTCATCAGGCAAGAAATGTGTTCTTGGAACTGCACGGGTGGAGCGCAGCCCCATCCTCTCCTGCTCTGGGGATAAATTAACCTTAAGTTTGTGCAGGTAGGAGTAGGGGAAGGAAGGATCCCTACAGTATTACTGTTCATGCTACCAATATGTCACTGATAACTGAGAAAAATATTTGATTTTAGATAGAACACAGGAAAGCAGCTGACCTTCCCAATAAAGATAATTGAGAGAGACATATTTCTGTACTTTAACAGAAAAAAAAAAAAAAGAACTAAGATACTAATGAAGCATTGACTGGTCAGAAAACACAAACTGAACTCTCAGCTTCTTTACTGTAGATACAACACAAGACAACATAACTGCAGTGCAGCTGAAGGAACAGCTGGAGTTCAGAAATACCTAAGCTTCAGTTTATTACGCACACATACAACTAGAGCATTCCAACACGCCATGAAATCGATTGAAAGTTTCTCAGAGTACATTTCCCTCTGTCATGGACTAGGTGTTCACAAACCCACACTCCCCTTTCCCTAAAGGCTGGTCAAAACTGTTGATCCAAGATCTTTGAAAACATGAATTAAGTGTTTGACCTTCTCTATTTCTTCGAGCAGAGCAGGTACAACTGTGAAGCAACTTGGTATGAGAGAGCAGGACAGCTTGCTGGGGCTGGAGGTCTCTGCCCTGCATTGTCACAGCTCTCCAAACACAGCTGGGTTGCAATGGCCAGGCTCTTCAACCTTCAAAATTGTCTTTAAAAACTATGAATGTGATGTCTCTAGGAAGCTGAGAACAACAGTAGAGTTCAAAGGAAACAGCTGACTTCATGGTTCTGTTTGTTTGCTTCACTGAAGTACCAGCAGAAGGCAATGCTAAAGGCCTTGGTCAAAAACACCTACACAGAGTAGGAGAGGCTTAGCTTCAAAATACCTAAACGGTGCAGCACAGGAGGCTTAGCTTCAGGCATAGCTGGCATTCCTTTCTGTAAGATGAAGACCTTTTAGTGAGAGCTCAAAAAGTTATGTCTGCTATCTGCCGAAGATGGCAAGCTTTCTAATTAGTACAACAGGTCTCATACCTTTAAGATGTAATCAGGCACATCGTAAATGTCACAAACCAAAAAAAGTCCATCTGCCAAAACCTCTTATTTCTAGTATTCAAAATGCAACATAAGAAGATGCAGCATTGTTATGCCCTGTTCAGTATACTGAGAAGCACTACAAGATGTTCTATTTGGACCTATTTGTAAAGCTCAGGTCAAAAAAAATACCTTAATGTTTAAACAAATGTTAATGCAGAGAAATACAGACAACTAAAAAGCCTTGTACTCTCTCAAAAACTCAAAGAAAAAAACCAAACGTTTGCTGATGGCTCTCTGGACATTGCCACAGTGTTGAAAAGTCACAGTACGTGAGATTTCTACAGAGAAGGAAGCAATCGTCTGGTTTGATCACTGTTCATGGTGTCTGTGTTATCCGGAGCAAATGATGGTATCAAAATGGAGACTAAAGGCAATTTTATAAACTGGGCTCAAAGTTGGAAGTTCTTAAATTACACCATTTTTTTCTACCTTCAGACAATCACATAATGAATACAGGACTTTCAAATTCATATAGCAGCCTCATTCAGCCAAACTTGTTCTGCCTTATGTAGCACATTTATCACGGCCATGAAGTTCTGGGAATTCTTCCTCTGAGTTAGAGATCTTTAAGAGATGCAATTTAAAAATGTTTTTAACCTTTGTTATCTATTCCCAAAAGACATCTGTTCTTCCTTTTTCATTATGCCTTTGAGACAAATATAGAGCATTTCAGACTAATCTGCCATATTTATGGGACACAGTGACATGGCAGCCACTTGGAACGAATTGTAGGGATTAAGTAAAAGGCAGATGTAGGCTGATCTGGGGCACTCCTAAGGCAAGCAGACTGCCTGCTCCATTTTGCAGTTTCAGAATTAGGGTGTCAAAGAGTAATTTTTAGTGTGGGAAGTTCCCATTACCAGTTTAATCTAAACAGTAACACAGACAGTCTGTTTATTCAATGGTAAATCATGTGGCAATGCTTAAATTCCCACAGAATGCATGAAAACATTGTTACACAAAAGTGGAATGGTTGAAATGGACTTTTTTACTAAGCTCCACAATTAGTGAATACAAATACAAAGAAAAATAAAGAAAACAAAACTTCAGTATGTAGAAATAAAGAATTTTGTGTTATTTATTAAAACATAATTGCTTTAAGAATCACAGTTAAAAGTCAGACTATAATGAATATGAAAGAAATTGCTTGTCTCTGGGCAGTTAGAAAGGACAAACGTAGTCAACTAACACAAAAGTCTGCTTATACCATTTTATCCAGGGCCACATCTTTGCACCAGCTCTAATGGGTTTTGTACTACTACTTGGGAATCTCAAAAACGGTTTTACCCGCAGTAGTAATGCAGCTTCTTCTTGATTGGCTTTAGGAAATTGTAAATTGGAAGAATACCTTTAGATCTACCTTTAGTTGTTAGTTGTCCACATTTTTTTCAAGAATCAGGACGTAATTTTTATGAACAAGTAACATCATTTGTACTTTTAACGAGGGGCACCCTGATTTAATCAGGGATACTGAACTTATGTCCAGTGAGCCTTTGTTCACATGACAAGGATACAGTTACACACCATCAACAGTATGCTGTCGCACGATGGATGCAGCCAACACGTAACGGGGAAGAGCCAAAGCGTATGGCCAGCAAGTACCCGAGAAAGACTCACCATTTCCTACATTGTTAGAGAATTTGAGTATCATTTTTAAGTGACTGGCAAAATTTGTCATATTTTAATAGACTCATAAATTCTTCTTGGGCTTTATCCATTTCTCTGTTGTTCGAATATACCAACAATTTGCTGCCTTAAATGCATGAGTTGCTTCATATCTATATCAATGGAACAAACACCACATTATAATTTTTCAGTCAAATATTTCATTTCCATGGTAAAACATGACATTCTTCTTGAATGTATAAAGCTAATTTAGTCCAATTCCTCTTTTACAGTTACCCAATTATAAAGGCATGCCTTTAAAATACAAAATATGTAGCTCCACTAAATAGTACTGAAATGAGTCTGAAGTGTATCAAAATGTTTGTAGACATATTTTCCATTTCTTTTTTGCATTTAGTCGTGCTATAATTTGATGTTAATAGTTGTTCGAGTATTCAGCATTGGAATTCAAAACATTAAGGGTTGTAGTCAGTGAAAACATCTCTATTTAAAGCTTGTGTAATAAAGAATTCTAAAGTTGATGAATTTAAGATTATAGCTGAGTGATTTAGCTTTAGTAAGTGCTGAACTTTTAAGGAAAATAACACAAACCAAAGCTGAGTGGGTTTGCATACACATTACTTTTGGTGCAACATACACTGAAATGTTCCTAAGCTTTCTGATTTTTGAAGGAGAGCTGCACCGAATGGTGCAGTACGGTTCAGTACACTGAACTCAGAGTTTCAATGCAGTATGAGCACAGAGAAGAATATGAATGTATATTTTGTGGCTAGCACTTTAGCTACTCATGAAAGTATTGCCGTGACATCTACTTAATCCTGGACAGCTGACTTTGAAAGGATATTTCTGTGAGGCAGATTAGTTAATGAAAAGTGAAATATCCATGAGAAAATGTGGGCAATATGTATTTTAATCCCTCAAGACCTTGTATTACGCACATGCCCACGTGTACCCATGCACACAAAGTACTAAAGTAAAAAGTTTACACCATGTCATATCAGAAATTTGAGACCGTGTGATATGTAAGAAAAATGTATAAGATAACTGTTTTTAGAAATCTGAAAACTCTATTCATTGTCATTCTTAAGCATATCTAAAAAGCAACCTAGCCAAGTTTACAAAACATTTCTTATGACTGTTGTGATTTTTGCGGTAAAGGAATCAGGAACTCACAATATGTACATCAAGCTTAAATGGCTTGTGTATGTTACAAGTATAAAGCAGTAGGCAGGGTAAGTATGACAAATATACTGACTTCCTGACATTGCAAAATCTTGACCAAAATAAACAGAAAATGACCCAGAAATCATCTCTAGGATAAGAGAAAAGACATTTCACTTTTTGTGAAAGAGAAGAGGTTTCACCATTCCTGCCAGAATCTTGGGTAGCTGGGCAGCAATCACCTCTGACATCATCTCAGGGAATTCAACACTCAGTGCACGGGACTGGAGAAATGTGTTCAGACAGAAGAGATGGAGCTGTTTCACTAGCTGGATTTAATAAAATACAAACATAATAAATCAGGCTAACAGTAATGCGGTCAGATAAACACGCTGTCAATCACTTATCTCAGACATCCATCAGCTGACATCATTATATACCTTCCTCTGTCATTCCTTCAATCAACAATGCAGGTACTTGTCATTCCCTATTAAAATATCCTCCCAAGGCAAAAAGTCATAAATATAGCTAAATGGTATGTCATATAAAACTGGTGCCTCACTACTATTATAAAGTGTCATCGTCCTCACTTGTGGCATGCACCATGAACAATTACTAAACAAGTATTCAATCTTTCATTTTATCCTTACATTCAACACACGTCTCCATGCCTTGTTTACTACATGCTTTTCAAACACCTCTCCGAGGGACAGCATTTACTATTTCCTTGTGAGCTTTTCCATGGTTCTGATTATGACCATATCTGGGTATGCAGCAAACACTAAACTCCATAGGTCCTCGTCCCTTGAAAGCAACTGCTCAATATATGTGACTATTTCACCTCTTCTATCTTCTCTGGGATGTTCCAATTTTATAGAACCTTTTCTTTAAGACTTGTGACCTTTATGTTATCAAATATCATACTATTTCTGCTACTCTAGGCTTTATAACACACAGTCTCTCCAGTCTGAGTATCTTTTCCTTGTATCTCCCATCACTTTATCAGCTTGAGCTGAAATAGGGACTTGAACAAAGATGTTCTACGTACCAAACACTACCCTAACCATCACTTTGCTGGTTATTTTGCAACAACTCTCACTCACTCACTTCCACTAGGGCTTTAAGTGTTTGAAACTAAGACATTGACTCTACAGCCCAATACTCAAAAGAGTTTTCGTCTGTATGCTGTGACACTCGATGTGCAAATTATTACTACAGGTAAGGCAGGAAGACCTTTTATCCCAAGCAAGACTGATCCAAACAGGTTCCTTGAGCACAGGGCTACCATGAGTAGTATGCTGGCCAGGACTTGGTTTTGCAAGTAAAAGACAAATGACTGAACTCCAGGGAAGGGTTCAGCACTGACAGTCCCAAGTGACGAGTGCAGTCTGGCTACCAGTAAATACTTCAAGTTAAGCTCCATACCCTCCCTTCAGAATTTTCTGTTGTCTACCTTCACCTCAAAGGATGCTTTTCATACTTGTCTCATTCTCCTTTTGCTGGTATCTGAGACAATGTAATAGCTAAATAGTGAATGTGAATTCTGTGGATAGCGGAAGCTGATCAATATTGTTACCTCTCTTAATTCCCATTAATGGGATCCTCAAAGGGGTTTTTTTTTCCCCCATCAGAAAAGGGAATTAGTGACAAAGAAAAGTTTTAGATGAATAAATGAATTTATTCATGAACAATTAAAATAAAATGCAGATTTGCTGAGTGCAGAAGAATACAAACATGCAAAGACCCCATCCTTCCCTGAACTCTCTGCGAGCTCCTCACAACCAGCACTGAACTCAAAAGTGCTCTTCCTAAACTATCTTAGTGACACTTCCCCAGCGCTTGCTAAAACCGTCAGGTATGGATATCCCTGTACCTCTGCTTTTTGCCTCTCTTGCAGAGATACACAAGCCGTTACAAAACAATATTCACGTGGGCAAAGGTTTAGATGAAATGTCATTCCTCAGTTTTATTGGATGTGAAGCCAATCGGATACCTGCTGGATTCTCAGAGATATGGAAAGTATTCAGCTACATCTTTTAAGGCACTTATGAATGTCTATCATATCACCACTAGAGCTCTCCGTGATTACTCAAATCCCAAATATAGACAGATACTGAAAAAACGGCATAGAACATACACATAAAAGTGGTTGAATTAACATTGCAAAACCAATCTTGGTTGTCTTTCTCTAATTCTTAATAGCCTGACTTTGCAACTTGAATTGCCTATTTTTCGCATTATTTAAATATTTTCATGAACACGTATACACACACACACCACACTTTACCAATAACTGTAACTGTACTGGTTATGTTACAGAAGTAATGAAACAAACTGGTAGCATTCAAATGCATGTTTCTCAAATACTTCAATCTTGGATACCATATAATAGATATACAACAAATATTGAAGCTGAATATATAGCTATCTATTTACACTTATACACACTAAAGGAAAAATGTAGGGGTTTTTCTTTCCTCGTTTAGAAATGCTGACTAGCCATTTTCCATAAAATTACATATAAGAAATCCTAGTTCCTTCTTACACAAAAAGCAAAACATATCAACAAGTAAACTTACATCGTGCATGGAATCCATCAGTTTTGTAAGTTGATAGAAACGTTGTGAGTTGGCCACAACACCTTTCTGGCGCAAGCCAATTGCCTTCACCAGTTCTCTAATGTAACTCGTTCTCATCTCATCAAATTGGCTTTGGCTTCTTAGACCTTCCAAAGGAACTAAAAAGAAAGTAACACTTGTGTTGCAATTTATTCTGAAGCCAATGACAGAAATTTAAAGTACAGGAACAATTGATACTGTTTCATTTCACGCTATGCAGTACAACTCATTACTAGACACCAGGTACTTCTTCCCATTCAACAGTTACTTCGGAAACAGTGATACAGTTAGCTAAAAGGATATACTAGGAACAATTAGTCAATTGTGCTAATTGCTGATGTCCAGAAATAGCCTTAAGCTTCAGCTACACCTGTCTGCTGAAAAGAAGATTGCCAAAAGAACCACTCCTGTCCTTCAGGAAAGGTGTTATGGACTGGCTCATGTTTACACTGCTGAAGGTCAGCCCTCTTCATAGCAGATTTATGTTAGAGAGATCTAGCTGGAGGGCTTCAAAATGGAGTAAAGAAATGAACTAGTAACTCTTTAAGTAGTGCAGAGAGCAAAGCACCCAGGGCTCAGGCCTCCTGTTTGACCTCTTTCACTTAACAGAACAGATGCGCTACCAGAGTCTTAAATGTGAACAGCTTTTAGAGAAATTAGCAAGGAGGAGCAAATGGTTGAACTCACTCTTCTCTTCATGGTCAGTCATGAGGACCACAACGAGGACACAGAGAGAACACTGAGAAATGAACCTGTTAGCGACTGCTAGTGACACGACCATATTCGATCACTGATAAGAAGAGTTGGTAGCATTGTAAGGAAACAGGCATAAGCTCTAGACTACTTTCCTTGATACGGCGCAGTGTAATACACAAGTCTTACAATTTATGTTGTCAAAGGCAAGTAAGAAATGAAAAACTTGAAGATGTATTCCCATCTGGCAATCAAATCTAAATCCTTCCTTCACTATAATAATCACACATTAAAACATGGTCTTATTTCAAACATAGTTTTTGAAAGAGCTGTTGAATTTCTTCCCCTTTCCTTTCTCTCTTGCCAATGACATTTCACACTGCAAGGTCACATTTAACATTTTGTATTCTGACAGCAAGCATGAGGGGAAGAATTCACCTCACCAAACTTCAGACATTTTACAGTATAAAAATCTCCATCTGGGCTAGTTACCACAGCTTGCTGTAGTTGCAGTGGGAAAAACCAGGCAGGTCTTGGGCACGAGGCATGTTCACTCTTTCAGAAGTAGCTTTGGGAAGAGATGAACTGTGCTGTAGAGATGCTTATTTTTCTCCACAGACTCTTAAAAGAATGTCATGGGGACTAACTCACATAGTTAAATAAATCACATGCTTATCAAGGTTATCTAGGTATCTAGTACATCTTCAATCCAGTATCAGACCATGACTAGTATCAGGCCACTACAGATTTAATCTGCATCTCTTTTTAAAGAGATGCTTGGTTCATAATGACATTGACTTATTCAACAATGCAACACCTAACTTCCAGATGATTTGTCACTTTCTGGAGTTAGAACATAAATATATCCGTGTGCTGACTCTCTGTACAATGCACTGTATTGTTAGATACCTCAGAATGGAATTTTTAAAACAGAAGCCATCTAAAAACGAGATGGCTGCACAGAGGTTGGACCTAAACCCATTCCCTGAAAGAGAATTAGGTAGCAAACCTTGCACTGAGAGAAGTACTGCTCTCTGGACATCATAAACCCTGTTCTGAAATCAGTTGCCTGAGTCGTGTCTGGTTCCTCAGAAGAACGTGAGGGAGAAGGAGACACTTCAGGCAAACAGATTGAAATTAAGTGTGCCTCACCTTCGGCCCAGAGACAGAAATAACAAAGCAGAAGTTCAAATCTCTACTCTACTGGAGTTAAGTAGAAGTCTCCTATTTCCTAGGAGACTGCTCCAGAGAGGAAATGATCCAGTTTGCCAAGGATGTCTCTTGCTCTGCGTCTCCTCAGACAAGTGAATGTCTGGGGGAAGGAGGGAGACACACACAGAGAAAATAGCAAGTTTACTTTAAAGACAAGTGTCTAAGTACTGAGATGGCTATGGAAGTCAAGGTCTGACTCCTAACTAGAACAGAATTCAAACAAAAATAGAAATAGAGACTAGAAATTGTGACTGCTTCCACAGAAAGTATGTTTGTAATACCCTATCTAATAATAGCCTAGCGTTTAGGGGTGCCATGTTAGATTTCTTCTGGCAGCTGATGGAGATGAAATGCTGGACAAGGTGGACCTTTGGTTTGACTCAGTATGGCCTCTCAAGTCCAGACAGACAAAGGAGGTATCTGAAAGTGTACCCGTCACATCTGTGTTGAGGCTCTGAATGGAGGAGTTCTGTTTTGTGGAGAATGCAATGCGCTTATGAGGAATACAGGCAGGAGCACCCACTGTGGGGTAAAGTTACGTCACGGAAAAAGAACAGCTTAATTTTCAAAGCCTGGATGGTTCTGGGTATGTCTAACAGCAGAATTACAGACACCTATGAAATCTTCTTTCATATAAAGTGACATTCTGATGGAATGTAGGGTTAGGTGGATGCTTTGACTTACGTTTCTAAAACAGCACTTAAGTCCTTACATGTCCCTTGTGAATTAAGTTAAAAGATCTCCTCCAGCTATGCATGACCTGTTTCCCAGAATTCTGCAAAAGCACAGTCACATTCCCATCTAATCACAAAAGGTTCCACTATGCTATTTATTTGAGTGAAGAATTACAACGTCTTACATGCACAAATGCAATTTAGACACAGGTAGCTCAAATCCTCCTTCCCCCTGAACATATTTAAAGAATGCGGATGCTTTTATTCCGTGGCAAGAACCCAGCCAAAATCTTATGCAACAAGACTTTGTAATTCCTCTAAATCAAAAGTCTGGAAAGTGTTAGAGCTAGAACTGAACTTGCTATATGCTTATTTCTCTCTTTTTTGGCATAGTTCTACTTTCTTAAATCATAGTCTTTCTGAACTAGTCATAGTATTAATTCCAAAGTGTACGTGACCTCTGCAAGATTGAGCCCTATTCAGAACTCTTGGGGCACTACTACAACACAGCATACTACATACAGTAAATAAGGACCTGTAAAATTGAAACAATTGCAGAAAATAAAAATGTTGGTCCACTTTTTGCAAAGACTAATTCTGTTTTCAAGACAACTTTAAAACTGTCACAAGTACAATATAAAGAAAACATGTAAGTCACAGCAAACTCAATGGAAAAACTGTAAAATCAAGAATAATGTTAAAACTTAGGCTGGGGTTTCCATTCAGAATTAGAAATTTATTGAGACTGATGTTTAGTTATGTTTAATACAAATTACTATTTCTTTGAAATTTTATAAAAAGCAAAAACCAGTTCATCTATGTAATAAATCAAACAGAAGAAAGAATGAGAGACTAAAAGTTCAGATTGGATTTACTGTTAGTATATGAAAGTTTGAAATGGCCATACTTTCACATTTGAAGAGGATTAAGATGAATACCATGACTAAAATAAAAGTAGTCTTAAAAAACACTTTATAGCAACAATGAGGTTGTATGTTTTTTTGTAAATAGTTTTGTGGAATTATATTTATACAGTACCAAACGTTTACTAAATGTCTCAGCAACAACGGTTAGGTGTGTTCCTTTTCCCAAAGATCTGACAAATTGTTTTTTCCTATAAGACAATAAGTGCAGGAGAGAACAAAAAGCAAAACTCATCAGCACAGGTAGAAATACTTTTTTTAAAAAAAAAAAAAAAACAAAACTTGTTTCTTGCATATACATAAACATTTCATCTTAAAAATGAGTTTCTGAGGGCAATGCAGTTGCTAAAAAATGGTAGCTTGATGAATAGTGTTAAATTGATGCACTCGCAAATGAGAGGGATTGGACCACTGAAATGTTTTTTTGAATTTGAACTTTGTGGGACAGAAATGGAAAGCTGGAGTATCACAAATGTATCTAAATTTCACTGAAATTTAAAACTTCCCTCTAAGGTTCAGAGAGACAAGGGAGTTCATTTCATGATGAAAACAAAGTGGAAAACATTTAAAATAGGAATACATTCAAATTCCAACAAAGTAACTGCAGTTATATCAGAGTGGGATTTTTGTCTACATTATTTTTATTGCTTTTACATGGCGTATGATATTTTGCTTTTAGCAATTTTTATGTTCATATGAGCTAAATTTAATCTTTACTGCTTATACTCTGCTAAGACCGTTTTTTCTAAGCATGAGCTTATACAAATACCAGCCAAGTACAGCTTAAGAGGGAATAAATTTTAGTTCCTTATCTTTTACTGAAACTCTGTACAACCAACAAGCAAGTTATGCCGTATTTGCACATCTCTCCTCTGATTCCGTAAGTGTGTAGAGACCCAAAGTTCAACATTCTTCCAATTATATTTCTTGGAGGTGCTTATTTTCATTTCTAACAGCACTTCTACCATTCTAAAACTTGCTATTTGTGTATTAATAGCTAACAATTACGGCCTCAGTAGATGTACAGTTTAGTACTTTAGAAAAGGTTTTGGAAGATAACACTGTTGACTACCACATTTCTCATTTAAAGTGGAATGTAGCTGTATGCCGGATTCTTTAAAATGCGTATGATTAAAAGTGATCGTGGATTTTGTTCTAGAGAAACAAACCAAAGAAAAAAATTTCCATTTGTTTATATCTGTGCATAACTCTAAAAAGTTGAATAAATGTTAGTATTGTTTGCCATGTCCACCTCCCTAATTCTTTTGAGTAAGCACACTTTAAGTTCTTGGCCAAGATAAAGCTCTCAGTCATGACAATTTATTAAATATTTTTTTAATATATTTCTAATGCTTGTAAGGTTTTTTTAATCTGTGTAGAGTCATTCAAGCCGAAGAGCTGCCAGGTAGAAATACTGCACACTTGATTTGAAGAAGTGTAATACAGTATTGCTATATACCAAAAGCGTTCCAACATTTCCCCCATGCCTTTACACAGATTAAAACCAACAATGGATCAGAAATTATGTTCGTTATAAACACTAGAAAAAAATACTTTTAGGTCTTGGAATACTAACATTCCTCCTGAAGAAGTTTCCATTTGTTAAGCCTGATAGCCTAGCAATTGTCAAGTTAAATAACATGGTACAAAACTCTTTTACTAGCGATATGTTAAAAAGAAATAAAAGAACCTACTTGTGTTGAGAAGTAACAGTGCTTTCATACACAGGAACTCTTCTTGGCTAACTTGAAGTCTGACAAATTCCTGTGGGAGTTGCCACATGGATAGACACAGGGAATAGAACGATGATTCTTTCATCCTCTGTCTTACACCCAGAAAAGGTAAAAATAATTTAAAAACCATGAAAATAAGGAAAAGAAACGGCTCCAGGACTAACTGCATTGAAGGAAATGCCTTGTTAGCAGTTTAATTACCACATTACAGAAATTAAAGAAAGAGATTATACACATAAACAATTTTCTGACGTTTTGTACCTACACTAGTTTTTTAGTCGTAATGAATGTGCTGATATTTTGGATGTTTAATCTGTTGCTGCTGCCCAGAAAAAAAACCTTGGAGACTATCAAAGCTGAATGCCAACCACGAAAAAGGAAGATTTTTTTACTAATTAAAACCACTCTCATAATTAATGTGAAGGAGTTTCTTTTTCTTTTAGAAGTTGATAGATTTTTACATTCTCTGAAAAGATTTCAAATCATAAAATTGAGGATAAACCTGAAAGTTTATAGAACACTTGTTCTTACATTTTGCAAAGCCATCTGCATCAAAATACTTTGTTGCAAGTCTTACATTGTACTGCTAACAGCGATATTATTTTGTAGCATATTATGCCATTAAAGAAACAGTTAAAAATGTTAGATGTAAATATATATAAAAAGTAGTTAAGTAAACTTAGACATTAATACAGCCTCATCTAAACTCCTGCAGAAGTAAATAGGACAAATCATATAAGGAAATACCTAAAACTGTTTAGCTTTTTGCAGCACTTCAATCTTACTTTTCTCTTTGAGATTTTGTTATACTGAGTGTATTTTATATTGCATATATTCATTGGGAAGGCAGTTTTCAACTGAAATTACTGCAACAATAGCATTTCGAAGTTTGTAAACTAAACTGAATTCATTGTACATTAACCTGAAGATCCAGTAACACGGGCCAATTTTACAAAGCTGCATCCCGATCCAAATGAATTAGGTACAACACAAGATTAAATTTTGCCCGTCCCCCTTGGGAAGTTCAGATCAGCATTCCAACCTGACTGTAGATAGTACTGTCAAGATATTTTCCATGAATACAAGACTTTCCTCAATGCATGGAGTTTTTTTCCTTCTGTTATTTAAAATATTACTGTTATCTTAAATTGAAATTATTTCAGCTTTGTCCATCATCTGCTATCATCTCCCATCAGCTCTTTAATGACTTAAACATAGAAACTTACTTAATCTGTTAGATCTGAAAGGACTGGTTATTTCTACTTTAAATCTCCCTTCCTATTCCTTTCTGGTAATCTCTGTTCCTAAGTGGTATCTATGCAGGGTGACAGCAGCTTTCAGGGTGTGCTTAAAAGCTGTTCTTAGTCATGTTTTCAGACACTGCAAAGTATAAGTAACAGTAAATCCCTGTAGAGTTTTAATACTAATTCATGAAATAATTGTCAAATTAACACTTCTGGCTTTATTGGTCTGAAATTGGTGCTACCAAACAAGTCCGTCCCAAGGAGCATTACAACTCAGTTCACTAAATGACAGATCAGCTGTGAAAAAATCTTTCGATTATGGTTTCATGGTCATTTTGAAACAACTCAAGTGTGTATTGCCCTTGTAGAAGAAATTTCCATTCTCTCTTTCCACCTCCTGGTGTGCACTCCTCATATTCTGGCATCAGCGCCTCCATGTCCATGTGGTGAATCAGATCAGGGGTCACCTCCATCTGCTAATTAATGGCTTTTTCTGGGGTATTTCTCAAACATGGCATTTCCTTATCTGTTTGACAGTGCAGCCAGATAGTGTTTGATCCAGCTTAAGTGAAATCATGGGGTTGTATAACCAGGGCAGGGAGGCAGGCGGGGTTGACATCTTTGGCTGTTTCAGCACTTACCTTTGCTTAAATTGATCACGAAAGTACAATCTTAGACATCACTGTAGCCAAGGAAGTTGCTTACATTCCAATGATCTACAAGTTAACTTATTTCTCAATAAATAGTTGCAGCTATGATTTAGTGTGCCAGTTACTTTTCACATCTAACTCTGTTTATAATGTTTCTAATATGACCCTGATGAGACATTCTACAACCAAGAGGTGTCAGTCCACCTCTTTCACAATGTAGATGGTCTTGAGCTGCAACCAAGAAGCTGTCTCTGAGGGATTATAATGAGGGTTCATAAATCTCAACCCTATTATTAAGGAAAGTCTTCTTCACAAGGTGGCAGCAGTGGCCCAAGTAAAGGGTAATACATTACTGCCTAAAGCCATCCCTTTCTGTGCTTCTTCTGAATGTAACCATGAGATATATCACAGACTACACTGGGAAAGAATACAGTCAGAAGTTCTCTCAATCTCATCCCTTCAAAGTATTTCAGTGTGTACAGCATAATTAATATACATGGGAGAGGAAAGAATTCATTACCCTATAACCTCACAGTGATTTACAGTCATCTGGAAGAGAAAAGGTCAGGAGCTACAGGGCCAGCTCCACTGAATATTTTCTATAAAGAACTTCACTGGCAAAATCCTGCATGTCTATGTATTTTAAATTCAGGTGCCTAAATCTCCTGCAAATCCACCTCTTAATCCTTAAACAGGTATGACTTACAAGAAAAACCTGTTTAATTTTCATCTTACTTCATAGTAGTTCTTTTAGGATTTTGAGGAAAAAAATAACAAAGAAAAATGTATTATGGAAAAAGAAATAGGGTGATTAAATTATGTTTTACTGTTCCTGGAAACCTCCCATGTATTATAACCAAAGTATCTAAAATTACAGCGTTGATAATATTAATTTGCAGATCTTAAAAAGTGACGAAGACCGAAATGAAGATTATCTGAATTCATCAGCATAGTGAAAGAAAATCTAAGCCAACAATCCCCTCTCTCCAACCAGAAGAGAGCAGTCTCACATATTTTATCCTTGATATTAAAACTCCTTCTTGCTAAATTATTACAATTTTCTAACAATAAATGTACTCAGCAGAGTTTTATCAGAAAGTGTCAAAACTGAGTATTTTAGACTATATACAAACTATTTGCAAAAACTACCTGAACAACAATGACCAAAGAAAATCCTACTTAGTGCCATTTATTAAACATTAATTGATGTCTTATTCAAATGAATTCAGATAAATCTGACAGCATCATTTTTTTATTTTTCTCGTAGATAACTAAAATATTATTTGAATTCCTTTTATTTGGCCATGTCAACAGAATATTTGGGATTCCCACAAAACCCTTCCCAAAGTTACTGAACTTTAATATGATCAGAGAACTTTCCTCTGCTGTTCATTTTGAAACAGAACAAGTAATGAATGAAGTCTTGGCCTCAATGAAGTCACATTCTCATTGACACAAACAAGTTCAAAATGTCATTTATATTATGCAACAGCAGAGTCTACTTACTCATTTAGAATCAGATCTGGGGCAAAATATAACATCTGACCACTGACATGTTTGTATGATCTCCATCCCATTGCAAAAACCATTAGACTCATCCAGGAATACTGGATGAGGGTTATCTGATCATCAATATGTAAATTCCGAAATCCTGGAAATGAAATTAAAAGTTAAAATACTTCATAATCTCGTTTAAACAACAGTTGAGTAGGTGTTCTGAGATTACAACTTTGAGCTATAAAACTGAGAACACCTAGAAAGACAAGTGCTTTTGGAGATGTAGCTCTCAGAAGTTTGTCAAGTTTACATAATAACTGTCTATCTCACTCTGATAGTTAACCTCTTGTCTTTTTGTTCTGATACAGTATTTTGAAATGATCAAACCAAAATCTAACTTTAGCAGTCAGAAGTGACTATTTCAGGAAACAGAAATGCATCTCATTATCCTTTGGTAAAAACAGGACAGTTTGTAACATTATTGCTATAACCAACTCTTACTTAATATAGTTAGCTTGGACTTTAGTGTTCTTAACAAGAGATACAGTTGTAATACAATAAACATCCACATATGAATATCTTCCTTGCATTTAACTAAAGAGAAGAGAATTCAGTTGTGTGTTTGCCTTTCATAACTTTTGCTCTTTGGTAACTTTAACAATTGCTGAGTCAATTTAACAGCTTCCTGCTACTGAAAACAGTGGTCCTGTTCTTTACCCGGTCCTGTTACCTCCCTCAAGCAAGCTCTGGCATTCATGCTGCCCCTCAGTGAACTGGTTCAGCTCCTGAGACCATCAGAAAACTAGAGAGGGTGAAAAACCCCATTTTTCTTCTCACTTAATGAGATGAATCAGTTCGACTAAGAGGTCTGACAAAGGCAAGCTGCAACGGGGAAGAGCAGTGGTAGGGACTACCCTTTCCTGCAGCAGTAAAGTGTCAAATTGAGCTCACATGAAGTTGTATTTCCAGGCTTCATGGTCAATATATTGATTTTTATATATCTCAAGATCAGACCCCTATGACCATACAGCGCATGTACGTAACATGGATTTTTTTTCTGGAACCCAGTCTTGGATCTTCATAAATTCAGTTACTTCTCATTACCAGTCTATTTGTAAGCTGCTTAGTCCTAACTGGTACTATTTATTACAATTTTTCTCTGTTGCTTTCAAAAATTCATTATAATAAGAGTAAAGAATATGCAGAAATACAAGCATTTTTTCATACCAAAAGAATGAACAATAGAGTAGAAATGGGCAGGGTGGAAAGGCTGCTATAATGATCACATGTAGGAACTCTCTGGGCTTCTGTTGTTTTTTGGAGTGAGTCTAAATATTTAGATGCATTCCTTTAAGAGTGCTCTCCTATTACAATGTATTTGATTGGTGCATATATTATCTGATTAAGTGGAAGGTTAATAATTTTAGAATTTGTTAAGAATTAATTATCAGGCAGGCAATAATATTCTCTTTTGACTGTTCATCCTGTGACATATTTGGTTAACTAGAAGTCACTACATGTAAGATGTGCTGTTACCTGGTAGCAGTTTAGACCACTTGACTACACAAAGAAGTTGTCTCTCACAAAGATGATTTAGACTGGTCAGCAAGGAACTTGGTGTTTCGGGTTTTGTATTGTCATAACCAGCATAGACAACTTCTGGCTCAATGCCTCGTAGAACACTTATCATTGGGGGAACAAACTGTATCTCTTGATTTGGAGAAAAGGACAGCCTTTGGGTTAGAGATTGGCTTTCATCTTGAAGGGTTGTTGGCTGCTGGAGTGCGACATCTAATGTTCTCACAACCTTAATTTTGTTAAACTTCTTAAATTTTCGACCTGAAAAAGAAAATCATTGATCTGTTAAAATGAATTAACCAGAAACATTAATACTTTCCAGTAGTACTGGATTACAATTTTAATCTATAAAAGGAAACTAGAGCTGTCTTCTGAATAAGTTTTCTATTCTTGACTATTCATATAATTAAGAAATAATCATGGAAAATTCTTAGAGTTTCTCCCTCCATATCCTCCTCCCTTCACTAAGAGATGAATGGCACCCACCCATTAAAATTATTGCCATGAATTCTAGGTTACAGTAACCTCATAAAGTGTCTTCTGGTTCAGTTCCCACTATTCTATCATGCCAACAGCTGAGCCAGCTGGCTCTACAATCCAGCTTCTATCCAATGTTAATTCAGGATACTGTTTCTTTTTTCTCCCTAATATTCAGAAACAAAAATGCTAGTAATTAATTACTACACACAGAAATTCTTTTCCTTCGATTCCACAAAGGCATTTCAGTCTCATGGCTAAATTCTATTTTGATTATCTGTAATGTAATATTTTCCTCCTGTTTACCAGAAAGAAAATAGAATTCAGGGGATGGATGAATGAAAAGCCAACAGACAGTGTAAAACCACGTCAACACTTAAGAAACTCTTCACTTTCTAGAGAATAATTTCACTTTCTCAGTAGTTGCAATTCTTATTTCCATACTGCAGTGGTTTGAAGAATACTAACTAAAAAAAAAAATATTTCAACTGCCTTCCCAAAATAAGCACAGATACTACATCTGGTATGGCTATGCAATCATACAGAGCTCTAGGTAGGAACTCTTCAAACTTCTTTCATGGAAACAATCTGCAGGTGCACCATAAAGGCACAGAAAATCAAACCTTCAGAGGCTGAAAGACAATAACTCTCAGTAACATCTCACCGTATCACTCATTTCAATAAAAAGGCAAATCCATGTAGAGGTGGCTGCATGGCACACATGCGCTATAAATAGATCCTCAAAGGTGATGAAAACCCTGTTAGATCATTAAATTCCTCAGTTCTGCCAAAAAAGGGTGTCATAACAAATAAAAAATATAATAAAGACACTGGTATTTATGGTCTAATTTAGATGACAGTGGGACAGTAAGAGAGATGTAGTGTGACTGCAACAAAAGGGTACATCATTCTGCCAGCAAAGAAAAATAGAAAGTTCATGTTTCAATCTTAATGGAGATAAGGAGAAGGTTCTGCTCCAAGAAAAAGCAGAAATAATATATATTTTTTTACTTGTTGAGGTGTTGCATGCTTTAACAGTATTTCAGTGCTCCATATTTCAGTGATTGAAAAGAAAAAAAAAAGCCTATTAAATTGTTGAACCACCGAGAAACAGCATTATAAAATGGCAATATACAAAAAACAGTCTCTAAGTACAGGACGTGAATTGTAATAGAAGCACAACATTATCCATCTATTTGGTTGAACTAAAATCCAATTTGTAACATGCATATCAAATTGTCTTTTGAAAAATGGTACTCTTATTTACAAGTGAAAGATTAGACAAGTGAACTTATCACATCCTAAAGGAAGGAGACAAAGACTTCTCCGCCTCTTACTGCCTTCTTTGTCATTTTAGTTAAAAGTACTGCTACTCTGTCAGAATGCAACCAGCGCTCCAAAGAGGCCCTAGGACACTGGAGCAGAGAAGCACACCAAACTTCGGCACATGGTCTGAATCCTTTCTCAACTGTTTATGGAAGGAATCGAGAGATGCTAGCATAGTCAGACTCATTGATCACTTTCCTCCTTGGAAAGTCTCTGTCTTCTGAACTACACCCTAAATCAGAAAGTTTTGACAAAAATGACTTTACTTAGGAACATGCCTATTCCATTTTCTTCGGGTGCTCCTTTATCATAGAAGATAGCAAATTTTATGGAAATCCAGTATCTCCATTTTGGAAGACCTAGGATGTACACTTTAGAGAATTAAATTGACCTTTTCAAAATATTCATTAGTACATGGGTAGTATACCTTCAAGCAAGATTAATACATCAAACATGGAAAGATTTCTTATGTTATTTCTAAATATTTTATACAGGAAAAATATTATATTAATTATTCTTGATGTACAGTGGTATCACTAGGGGCAGAATCAACCCTCTTGTTTATGAACCAGACAGGATTGAGAAGATGAACAGAATCTAAAAAGCCAAAACCTTTTTAAAAAAAAATAATTGTGTTATCCCATCATAAATATGCATGTTTATGCATTTCACATACAAAAAAGTTGTACACAAAATGCACAAAATGCAAAACTTCAATTTAAATTAAAAAAGTATTTTAAATCCAAAGAGATTATACTAAACAGAATTTCAAGAAACATACTTTATTGATAGTATAAATATGAGTGATGGGCTCTTCAGTAACACTCATCATCCCATGCAGTCAGGGGTCACACTCCCACTAACTTAACTGTGAGTTTAATGAGCTTAGCATCAAGTGTCCCAAGAATATTATGGTCATTTTATCACTTCTGGTAAGAATACAGATATTTCTGATTAGTGACTCCTTAGTAAAGAACAAAACATAACACCTTATGTTACAGCTGAACAAAAAAAAAACCCCAAACCAAAATTATAGGCAATATATTATGACAAGAGACCTAGGGGCAATTTCTGTCGTAACAAAGCTATACATAGTCATAAACATGCTGAGAATTTCCCACTAACTATTGTTTAGGCATGAAGGAAAACAGAAGGAACAATGCATTTGATAGTTCATAAATAATGATTTCAGATATTTTCTGAAATAATGGCTTCAAATATTTTTACAGTTCAGAGAACAAGTAAAGAAAGAAACCAGAGTGCTTATCACATGGAAATGTTAGTAGTTAATAAGTACCCATGTTTCCAAGTGATTAAATGTATCAGAATTAATGTCACACTGGCTTGCAGAATTGCCTGTGTTTATTTCTAATTATGTTGCTTAACAGCCACCAGTAAAGCACCTCCACTTGTTGCCTATGTACTGGAGAGGTGACTAGCAATAACTCACAATAAACTTTCCCATCTACCTCAAGGACACCATGTCAAATTAATGCAAACTCTTAAGGGCATAAGGAAAACAACAGAGATGTGACAATAGCTTAGTTTTTCAATTACAAAAATATCCAGGTAATTTCTTAATTTAAGATAAACAAATGTCTCCACTTAGTTCTATAACGTGTAAATAATACTCATCTGCTCTGGCAATTATTCATCTTAATATTAAAATCTGCCTGTGCATATTTAGACAGCGCACCTTTTCTTTGTTAACATTTTCATGATGACACCAAGCTGTGTGGTGTGGTCGACACGCTGGAGGGAAGGGATGCCATCCAGAGGGACCCTGACAGGCTGGAGAGGCGGGCCCATGCGAACCGCATGAAGTTCAACAAGGCCAAGTGCAAGGTCCTGCACGTAGGTCGACGCAATCCCAAGCACAACTACAGGCTGGGCGAGGAATGGATTGAGAGCAGCCCCAAGGAGAAGGACTTGGGGGTATTGATTGATGAGAAGCTCAACATGAGCCGGCAGTGGGCGCTTGCAGCCCAGAAAGCCAACTGTGTCACGGGGCTGCATCAAAAGAGGCGTGACCAGCAGGTCGAGGGAGGTGATCCTGCCCCTCTACTCGGCTCTTGTGAGACCCCACCTGGAGTACTGCGTCCAGCTCTGGGGGCCCCAGTACAGGAGAGACATGGAGCTGTTGGAGAGAGTCCAGAGGAGGGCCACAAAGCTGATCGGAGGGCTGGAGCTCCTCTCCTATGAGGACAGGCTGAGAGAGTTGGGGCTGTTCAGTCTGGAGAAGAGAAGGCTCCGGGTAGACCCTATAGCAGCCTCCCAGTACCTAACAGGGCCTACAGGAAAGCTGGAGAGGGACTGTTTATCAGGGAGTGTAGTGACAGGACAAGGGGTAATGGGTTTAAGCTGAAGGAGGGTCGATTTAGATTAGATGTTAGAAAGAAATTCTTTACTGTG